GGATGCTCAACCACTGTTGGCTTTGAGAACGTGTTCCTCTGCAGTACTCCTGGCTATGCAGTGTAGAAATGTGGGGTTTTATCACTGCTAAGGCTTGTGTTGAGCAAACAAAATGGATTTGGAGACTCCTTAGTTGAAGGGAAGTGTGACTTTTTTCAAGATATATTCTGGAATTTGGATGTTTAAGGCGTTTCCCTCAGTCTTCCTGAAGCTGAATTGCCTGTTGTTCAAGATTTAACATACTTCTCGTGTGCCCACTTTTCTTCTGGAAGTGGACCTGAAAAAATGGTAATGTAAAGGAACCCAGTTATGCAAAATAGCACCTCTGTGAGGTCAGGGTGACTGTCTTGATGTTAATGATCCCAAATTGTTCTGTGGAAAGTGTGCCTATGTGGCTGGCCCAAAGTTAGAAAGGAAATAGGATGAGATTCAGCCTGTCCTGTTAGACTGAGCTTCTTTGTGTTTTTTCTGTTCCCTGCTTTGGCCTCAGCATGAAACTCCCAACTGTACCGGGTGATCCTTGAGGTCCTTTCCAACCTGGTATTCTATGGTTCCATGGTTCTACGGTGACATGCAATGCAGATCTCCATGTTCTTCTCACAAAACTACATGAAGAGTTTCTCCTTTACTTGAGAAACCGTGTTTTCATCAGATGATAGTGGTCAGAAGGGAAGAAGAGAACTCCACATTTCTTTATCTCCTGTAGCTTTTGCAAAAAGGCTGAAAGCTTAAATCTGGCCAGCTCAGGGAGCAAACCTTTGTGCTTTGCTAGAGCAAAATCTTAGCTACTGAGACTTCTGCAGTGAACAGAATGAGTCAGCTGGGAGATGGGCGATAACTGTAAACTCTTCTTCTCTGTTGGGCTGTATGGCTTTGCCAAGGAGGAGGTTCCTGTCATGCTGGGGACTACTCTTGATGGCATTAATAAAAGCATTGTGTGCTTCATCATAGGATGTTCTAGGCCTCTGAAGAGGAGTATGCTCATGTGTCTGGGCTGAAAAGGGCTCTTGCCTACCCAGACTTGCTCTCCAGTTGCTCTTTTCTCTGAATGCTCAAATTAGCTCCTTTTTTTTCTGTTGAGATGATGTTTGTAAACTTTTCTGTTACCTTCTCCTGACTTCAATTTACCAGTGACCTTTCCTGCAGCCTGAATGCGGTGTTCTTAGTAGTGAGCAATATAAACTATCCTAAATTACGCCTCTCGCCCTCCATCCATCTCAGTTTAGTTTTGCAGGAGGATCGTGCATTATCACCTGGAGTTTGCTTTTGGAATTGAGGGTAGTGATAAATAAACTCTAGTGGTAGAAACTGGAGAACGTGGACTGATTTAGCCAGCTCAGTGTGTGGAAAAGGAACAAGAATGGATTTTATTCACAGAATGATATGGTGTTGGAAGGGACATCTGGAGATCATCTAGTCCAACTCCCCTGCCAAAGCAGGTCCACCCAGAGCAGGTTGCACAGGAATGCGTCCAAGCAGGTTTTGAATGCCTCCAGAGACTGAGACTCCACCACCTCTCTGGGCAGCCTATTCCAGGGGCTCTGTCACCCTCAAAGTGAAGAAGTTCCTCCTCATGTTTAGATGGAACTTCTTATGTTCAAGTTTGTGCCCATTTCCTCTTATCCTATCCCTGGGCACCACTGAAAAAAGACTGGCCCTGTCCTCTTGACACCCTCCTTTTAAGTATTTATAAGTATTGATCAAATCCCCCCTCAGCCTTCTTATGGTGTTGGTTTTTTTTTTTTTCTTTAAGTGTGCTTGGATAGAGTTCTGTGTCTCCTTCAGCCTACTTTTTCTGGGATTGTAGAAAAATATGCTTATCTCAGCTGATTTTTCCCATCTCACAACTGGAAATGCCAATGAGGGTTATTGCAAAAAGGCAGCTGGGACTTGGTGAGAAGCTGGACTAATGCAACTCAGCTGTGTGTGCTTGCCTTTGTGTGCTTCCTCCGCACCTGGAATTGTTTCCATCTCCATGAGATGACTTTTGATCAGAAACCTACAGGTGTGTTGCTGTATTTTTCTTAGTAATCTCTGCTACTCCCTTAAATTTTGCACCACAGTTTAGTGGGAGAGCTGTTGAGATCCAGCTGTGTTGGCATTCGTCAATTTTGCTCTGACTTGACTGCAAACAAGGCTGTGTGTTACATGGCAAAAATCTTTAAAACAGAAAAGCAGATCCATATGGTGAATGGTGTAGATCTAGGTTTTTGGAGTAAAGTGACAAAAACTGGGTCACTGATTTAACTGAGGTATACCTTTCTGTTGGTCCCCTGCTCTACTTGGTCACAAAATTGGGACTATAATTAAATGGGAGAGTAACATGAGTGCATGCATTTGTCAGAGAGTTTTATGTTGGAAACACTGTGAAATTAGCTGGTTGAGTGCTGTATTTGGGTAGCAAGAACATAGTCTTCAGGCCTCTGGCTGTGGGACATCTCCTCATGGGAGGTTTTTGGACAGCAATGTACTGCTACTCTGGTGCTTGTCAGACTACGTATACGTGAGGAAATCCAAGTGGATGCAGTGACTTTAGGGCTGGAACTTTAGTGGCTGGTTACACTGCTGTTGGCTGCATCATCAAGGTTGGTCTTGCTGTTGGTAGGGACACCAACTGTGAGGTCACAAAAGAAATGTCTAAAATGTGAGCCTCAGAATGAGGATCTCCAACTGCCCTCCACTCTATCTACTGAAGAGCAAGTAGAAGATGCCTGGTTTCCTACAGATCTGCCTTTCACCTCTTTACACTTCTTCTGCCACCTCCTTGACACATCTTCACTGGCCATCTCTAGTTGCCACCCCCATCATAAGAGAAATCAGAACTCTGGCTGGTTGCCCATGTGTTTATTCATAGATAATCCACGTGTTGGGTGGTTGTGCCAAGTGTTGTGTTTCAGTCTACTTCTCCACACCTTTCTTTCCTTGCTTCAGCCCTTAATATTTCACTCAACTTTTGGGCTGGTAATTGTGTGTTAGGATTCTTTTCTTTTTGTTTTTTTCTCCAATTTGATTGAAGCTGGCCAACAAGTTACAGGAGCAGCTGGAAGGGGCAGAAGAATGAGACTAGTAAATGGGAAAGTCAGCGTAGACTATTAATGGTTCTTGTATTGCTTTAATTCTTTGTGGTGATCATCACCACGGCTGAGAAAGTGGCATCTGTCACTCCATGACCACGGAGACTGGCCATTTTGTTTGCAAATACAAAAAACTAAAGGATGAGTGTCTGGAGGCAGCGCCATGGTAACAAGTAGTAAAGATTTCTCTGTCTCTTCCAGAAGAACTCCTGGTGGGGAATGTCAAGAAATGCATCTCCTGTGACTTCTGCATCTCTGGTGACACAGCATCTCTCTTGACTTTTGGTAGCCTATTTGTGGAAGGATTCAGGGAACATATTCTCCTACTTATTCTCCCATCTGTCTTTTTCCCAAATTCACTGGCCTTGGTGTATGCTTAAGAATAGACTTGTGTTCTGCGTTATGTTGGGAAAGCAGTTAAGAATTTATTTTTTGACCTTCCTGTGTTTAGATGATAATATTTTTAGTATCTTATATGATGGCTGTTTCTGAGTTGCTTTATAGTTTGGACTTTCTTTTCCCATTTGAGTGCAGAGGGGAAAGCCTGATCAACCTCTTAATCCAAAAGGTATTTCAGGCTGTTCTGTCACCTGGACCAGGTTGTGCAAGAGCCCTTTTCGTGGCACTTAATTACCCTTTTACATTGTTCGTAAAGGACTTCTTCAAGAGTGTGGATGAACTGGGTTTGTAGCAATTAGTGATCCACCAGAACGTACAGTCGCTTGGCTGTACAGACCCTGAATGTGCATGCCAAAAGGGAGCCTAAAATATCACCCTACTCCCAAATAAGCGTGAAATGGGAAGGAAGAGATTGTTTCTCCATGTAAACCTTTTAAAAAATTAATTTTTTTAATATTGGCTTTATTACAGTATTCATAATTAAATGGGCTTTTTCTTCTATTTGTCTCTTATCCCATCTTATCTTGCTAGCAGATAACTAGGGATGGCCTTTTCCAAACAAGGCATAATACAGGCAGGAGCATCTCAAATGATCTTAAGATTGTAAGATATGGAAAAAAGCTTCCTATAAAATTATATCTCTTTGGGATGTGGTGCGTGCTCTTGAATGCAGTCTAATTGGCCCAGGTTCAGCTGCGTAACTTTTGACATGGATTTGCATCTGGTTCTCTGAAGGCTTAATGGTGCCTTGAATTATAAGTAGTCTAGGAATTGCCGTGTGAGACACAGGGTTCATTTAGCTCAAGGATCTCTCTTTTGGATGGTGACCAGTAATAACGTGTTCAAAAGAAGAGAAAGTAATGCCCCGATATGCAAATGTGGTGATAATTTCTCCCTGGGTTTCTCCTGATGGTTAATCGTTAAGGCTGGCTTCTTAAGCATTTTTTACAACTTAGTTCTGATGATTTTTGGCTGGTCTCGTTATGGGACAAACTGTGGACATTTGAAGGATCCTCCGTGTTTTTTTGGTGCTTTTCACCCTTTGATCTGGGATCACTTTATTTATCCAACCTCCTGGTGTCTTTGCAAGGAAGGGAGGTATTGAGAGAGAATATCTTAGAGGACTTTGTGGCACGATGCCATTTTCTTACAGTGTAATCGCGCTTGAAACATTCAATAGAACATCGTTCTCCAGTTAATGGGGAAGATTGTTGTTGGATTATGTCCCATGTGATTTATTTTTTTGTGTGCAAAGTTTTCTTGCTGCATATGAGGTAAATAACCGATTCTATCTGCGTTCTTAATAGCTGGTGTCAGAAGTGAAACGCTTCAATTAAAATATTTCTATTTATTTTTTCCCAAATAAGACTGCTTTATTAGCTTACGTCCTTACATGTTTTTTTTTTTTTTTACCTCTCTTTAAATAATCCTAAAATCTGGATAGAAATTGTTTCCCACTGCCCACACTCTGGATAAAACATCTATTTCCAAAAATAGCAGAATGATGTTACATTTTATTTGTTGTAGGAAGAAAAAATAGCAAGTTGGAGGAGGTGAACAGCAGAGTGAAAGTTCTTTGAGAAGGTAGGAATTGCTTTCTCTCTTTACTTTTTTTTTTTTTTTTTTTTTATAAAATTGTTGGTGTTGTCAGATCTGTACCAGATGTGACCGTGACCTGGTGATGCTGTGCAGGTGCTGTGGCTGGTGGAGGGATGACAGAGAGGGGCTGTTAGAGCACGAGCAAAGTATTTCTGCATTTTGGGAGGTTACAGGGTTCATTTTCCACATCAAAGCAGGGCTGAGAAAAACAAATGCCGTTAAGAGGACCATTTTTGATGATTTTCGAAATCAGTCTGGAAAAATCAGAATGCCCTCCCATCCAGCCTGGCTAAAATAAAGGTAATTCGAGGCAGCTTGAATGTCTCTTTTCTCGGAGATTTTCAGCAGATGTTCTGTTCTGAAACCTAATGATCTTCATGGTTATTTGGAGATGTACGTACAGTACCTGCGGCCCTGTTACTGAATGGAGGGGCTCAGATTTAGCATCGATGGCTCTTTCTTGTTCAGCGTGGTGTTCCTTGTCCTAATTTCTGGGAAGAAAGTGCTCTTCGTAGTCAAAAAGGAACGCTGGATAGATAAAGTGTTCCCATATGGTAATTCTTGCGCTCCAAAGTTACAAGGAACCTTTGATCAGTCCTCCTCATGATTATCTTAATATCAGGGAGGCTGATAATGTAAATGGAGATTTCAAGCTTGACCTGATTCACAAATAGGATAAGTTAAAATGATGAACGTGATTGAGTTATTTGCCGCAGCTGCTTCCAGGGCTGGATTGATTTGAATTTCTGCTGACAAGGCGTTGAGACCGCTGGCAAGGACATCCCTGAGCTTATTAACAGAGTGCTGGGGAAGGAGGAGCGTTGGGAGCGGAGCGAGATGCGAAGTGTGGGTAGATGGTGGTGGGCAGGCTGGGCTCTGAAGCCTGGGCCTAATAGTGAGGTCTTCTGCAATAATTTGGTTTGCTTGTAGCAAAATAGTTTTGATTAATATAATAATTTTTCTCGGATGCCGTGTTCCTGGTACTGCCACTGTAGTTGGTACATCTCAATATCTGTTTCTTTTTTTTTGCATGGTGCTGCAGGCTCACGAGTGTTGCTGCTGAAGTATTTTCAGGACAAAAAAAATGGAGTGTGGGCACTTAAAGACTTCTGTTTGGGTTATTTCTATGCTCTGTCAGAGTTTGATGAAAGATTCTCTTGTGCATGACAGGATTTTGTTTCAAACCCAGAACATTGAAATGCTGCTCTGTGATGTGTAGGACTTGTGCTGGATCCGTGCTTTGGAAATCTCTTTTCTCTGGCATCTCAGTTGTGTCTCTGGACAGTGGACTGAGATCAGTTTTCCTTCTCTTGTCTTAAGATTGCACCTAAATTCCATCATAGTTTAAATGGGGTCTGGAAGCTTTGACATCACAGAAGTTCATAGAATGGTTTGGGTTGGAAGGGACCTTAGATCATTGAGTTCCAACCCACTGCTGTGGGCAGGGACACCTCCCAGTAGACCAGGTTGCTCAAAGCCTTCTTCAGCTAACTGATGGTTGTAGACCTGCCTGTTGGAGATCTTGCCTGCTGGCTCTTGGCATTGAAGAAGGTCCATCTCCGCAGGGCTAGCTGTGCTGAGTAGGACAGAGGGTGCTTCCTCCTATTCCTCCAGGTACCCATCTCCTTTCCATGGTTGTACGCTCTTCCATTTCTTTAGACTCCAGACCCAGTTCTGTTTTTATCCCATCTTGGTTACCCTGTTTTCCATGTCAAGCAGATGCTCCACTGATCCACTGAACTGAAGACTCCTGCGTCATCTGCCAGATTTCCTTCAGCCATATAGACAGCACATCCATAATCATCCATAATGATCCCTTGAAAACAAAATGTATCATCACAGCTAGAGGGGGAGAAAGAGTCTTTCCTTGACAGACACAAGGTCCTGACCTTTCTTCCTAACTGGCATTGGTGCTGATGCCACTGGTGATCTGGCAGCCTTCGGAAGTCATCTCCCTGATCTGATGAGACCTTGTAGCGAAGATTTAGGTCGTTGTCTTTGGGGAAGGTTTAGTTTTTCCCAACTAAAACAGTGTAGAACATGAAAGCATATATATAAAAAAAAGTTTATAGTGTGTATATATAAAAATATGTATGTGTTGCGTATAAATATATGTGTAAAAATATGGAAACAATATATAATACTGCACCTTTTGCATTGATGATTTAAAGTAGCAACGAAGGAGAATTGCCCAAAAATAGAACAGCATTAAATTGATTTTTTTTGCCTTTTTCTACCCATTATAAGCCTAGTTTAAACCCCTCAGTTCCAGCCTTTGCTCTGAACCCACCACCCAAACATTGGACCCTCAATGAGCGAGTTCTGCACAAGAGTTAATTATTGCATCTCACTTAGGTCCAACTGTAGGAAGCTTTGGAGTCGGAGGCAAACAGACCCTGAAGAACCTTACAAACAGAAAGCCCCCAAGCATTTGACTTTCTGGTTTATTGGTTCTGCTGTAACTGGCTGTATTTTTGTAAAAATAGCATCTCCTGTTGTCGGTTTGCAGAGGAAAAGACGGTCCAGTTCTGAACTGGAGTACAGGTACCCCAGCTTTTGGCCGTTTGCTCACATCTGGGAAGGGGCTCAGTCGTGTCATTTAATACTCTTTATTTTCGTGATTTTTAATATTATTGCATTCTTGGTTTGGCCTTTAAATAGGACAGTTGTGTATCTGTCTTGATAACATCATGTAGGCGCGTGTCCACAGAACTGCAGCGTGTTTGCTCTGTAAGTATTTATCCCTATCCATATATATCTCATCCACCAACTCTGCTTTCCTTAACCTGCAAAGAATTAAAGCACCTAGTGGCTGGAAGCTTTGGCAACGTGAATTAAAAGCCCTTTATAAATCAGTATTCAGTGATCTTCAGCACACTGGTGTAAAGGCAAATAGCTACTGCGTTTCCCCTCCTGCTGCCCCATGGCTACATCCTTGCATAAGTCTTTAGTAAAACTCCTCCTCCTTGTGTTTCCTCTGGAGGTTGTAATAGGCTCTAAATCTTGTAATTTGGGACTGAAAATATATTATATATTCACTTTTTTGTTACTTTTAAGAGTCGTTTGTATTTGACCAGCTTTGCCCAGTGCGCGCTCTCTCTCTAGATATATATATTTATTATTTGCACAGCTCTTTCTCTCTCTCTCTCTCTATATATATTTATTTTTAATTCTAAAAAGCTTGTCCTGTGCCTCATTTATATTGGAGAGTCAGGATTTAAATGTCCAGTCAAGGTACCCTGTGGTTTAACGCGCTGCTGCAGAGGCATTGCAATAACTGTTCCCATTTCTGCTCCTCACTTCTTCAGCACCTGAGATCATGAGTTTCTCTTTAACTTCCCCCACATCTATGAAAACCTGGTGTTGGCAAATACAGCGACCCCCGACTCAGCTGAATATTCACTGATTTGCAAGATTGAGGTTTACCTGGTGCTATAACTTCGGGAGCAAAGTGCGTCCGCGCTTCTACAAGTTTCTGAATTACAGCATTTATTATTATTTTTTCCTCCCCATCTCTTTCCAGGACTGCTGCATTTTCTGGGACTTTTTAAAAACAATAATAATAATAAAAAAAATAGTTAATGTCTTCCTACTCAAAAATTAGAGCAGTGTCTGGTGCTGGGAAGGACTTTTTTACGAACGCTGCGCAGCGCTGCTGTTGGGAACAGCCTCCCATAGCAACCTTCAGCTTGAAAGCTGAAATCACATCACCCCGTATGACAGCTTTATTATTAGATTGGCATGTGAACCCTTTAGAAGCAGCCTAGGTGGCAGCAAAAAAGTTCCCCTAGATTACGTCTTTAGGGTTGTTTTTTTTTTAATTTATATTTTGTGGGGTTTTTATCACTTTGAGTTTCGTTTTTTTTAATTGTTTTTCTTGTTTGTTTTTTTTTTAAATATTTTTCAGATAGAATAAATGATAGAAAAGTGACAGACACCTTCTAGGTAAGGCAGAAGATCTCTGCCATGAGTTGTGGTACATGCTCATGATCATCACCGCAGCAATTTCAAGTCACAGAATCACAGGGTTGGAAGGGACCTCTGTAGATCATCTAGTCCAAACCCCCCTGCCAGAGCAGGTCCACCCAGAGCAGGTTGCACAGGAACGTATCCATGTGGGTTTGGAATGTCTCCAGAGACTGAGACTCCACCATGTCTCTGGGCAGCCTGTTCCCGGGCTCTGCCACCCTCAAAGTGAAGAAGTTCCTCCTCATGTTTAGATGGAACTGTCTATGTTCAAGTTTGTGCCCATTTCCTCTTGTCCCATCACTGGGCACCACTGATTTGCCATCAGCACAGCATCCATCTGGAGGTCAGCAGGTAGCTTTTGAAGCTAAGAAGATATATGGCATGCCATGCTCTGTGTGGTATCTGGGGCTTTTCCCTGCCATCCTTGGATAAGGGGTGCTGTACAGGTGGTCTGTCAAAAGGTCTGGCTCCATCGTATAAAGTCTATCTAAACCAGTTGTTGGTGGGGCTGCGCAGTAGCTTTTTTTGCTCTCACCATCCCTAAAGAGACTTCAGTTGGCAAACCTGAGTAGTTCTTGTGTTAGGAAGTTATAATTTCATCAGTCTGAGCTTCATGGAGCTGATGAACTTAGCCCCAGGTGGGTCTGGAGTATGGTTCTGAGTTTTGCTAGAGGAGCATCTATCTCCTTTTGCTTTCATCGTAGAGGTTATTCTGTCCCTGATCCATCAGTGTGGGCCATTCCTATTGTCCAGTCTCTCTGCAGACTTACATCCCACCTTTGTACTGGTTCTTGGCTTGCTTCCTCAAAGCTTCTGTTGATGAAGAGAGACCTTGAGGGCTGGATGAAGGTCCTGGAGAGATGGGAGGGTCTTCTGAGAGCATTTGTGGAACCAGACTGGGATATACCAGATCTAGTTTGAGAGCGGGCTGGTGATGGCAGAGTTTGTCTCCTGGGCTTTTTGTTGGGTTTGGCATTACTAATCTGATTGACTTTCCGTCCCCACCAGAAAACCAG